TTTCTCTCTTTTTGTATCTGTTTTTATCTGCCTCTTTATTTCTCACTTCCTTTCTTTCTGCCATAGAGCTTCATAGAGCCACAGAGCGGTCATCTGTGATCCATAAGCCAAGATACATTACAAGTATCTTGGCTTATGGATCACATGTGACCTGAATTAGACGAAACACATTAATGCAGTAACTAACACTGCAATGTCTAAACTGTTCTTCCTCAGAAGAGCATTGAAACTCTCAACCCCTTCCGTCCGCCTTCTGGCTTATAAAACAATAGTTATACCGACTCTGGATTATGCTTCCATTATATGGGACCCTTTTACCAAAACTAATATCAACAAGCTAGAAAGAGTACAAAAAAATGCCATTCGCTTTATTTATAACAGCTTCGGGCGCACTTCAATTACGGAACTTTCAACTCGAGCTAATCTACCAACACCAACAGAAAGAAACCGCTAATCTAGACTAAAATTTCTATATTAACTAGTAAAGGGACATTACAAGACCGACATTTCTGGAGTTCTCTCATTTTCGTCCGGATATGCAACTCGACAAAGGCATGAGCGCACAATAACACCCTATGCAACCCGTAACAACTGTTTTAAATATTCATTCTTTCCACGAACTATAAACGACTGGAACAAACTAACCAACACCGAAGTTTTACAGCCATCTTTAACATTGTTTTCTTCTAGCCTCAATAACAGTGTTTAAAATAGCATGCCAATTAAGCTCTGTCCCCATAAACGTTCGAATTTTTGTATATTTTCAGTTGCTTTGTGCGTACATTTGTTTCTGTGTGTTTTTATCTTCCTGTTTTGAAAATTTGTTCGTCTGCACATTGAGCATTTATGTAATTCATGTAACCCACTCTGGGAAAATCCCTAGTAGGGATTGCAGTATTCATAAATAAATAAATGAAAATTTCTCTCTGTCATCTTTTCTTTATTTCTCTGTTATTTATTTCTCTCCCTTACTTTTTCTTCTTTTTTATTATTTTTCAGTGCAGCTGTTTCTTTCCTCAATGTGGAAGGCAGTGGTCCTTCATTGACGCCCTTAGCAGCGCAGCAACGGCAGCAACGGCGGCCACGCGCTGATATCCAAGCAAGAACTACGTGTGAAAACGTGAAATGATAAGCAACCTCGATGAAATTTCGAAATTGGCGTATCAGAAACGACAGATTGCCGACAAGGAGCTATCGGAAGTGTATGAGTTACTGGAAAGCGGTGCATTCAAATGCGGGTGGGATCAGTGCACAATTCGAGACCTCGCGCGTCTGTGCCCTGGCCGGTTCCTGGTTTTTCATGTACGATGCCGCCAGAATGTGTGAGTTATAAAAAGCTTTACTTAAATTAAAAAATGAGACTAGGTGATGGAAATTAAAGGCGCTAAGCAGCACAGACAACGACACCAGATATGATATCGAGAGTAAGCATTAGCGGCTTGCGATTCACTCTATTTCGTTTCAGGGACCATTTTATCAATGAGAACTCACGGACATTGAGGCCAAGAAAAGTCCGGAGGATGTTGTGAGAAGTAATTGTAATGCAAATGTGAAGAAAGAAAAGTGAACGAAGAGAGAACTTGCCGCTGGCAGTGACCGAACTCGCGACCTTCGAATAACACGTGCGATGCTCTACGAACTGATCTAAAGCAGCGGTCATCCCTACTTGTACTTTCATAGGGTACATATGGGCATTCAAACGTGGAAGCGTGCTTTAAACGCGGAAGCCAGGACGGCGAGTGTGCAACGTTCTTTTTCTGCCTGTTGGTGTCATACGCGTGATCATGTAAGCTGGCAGCACCTACTAATAACTTGGGTGTGTGACACAGTCACAGGTTATTAGCTTTACGGCGGCGTTCGTTGGCCCACGAATCTTCTGACGCAAAAATGGAAAGCGGGTCAGGTTGTCCTCCAGATGTTAACGCCGCGGCGCGTCATTGTCTGGAGCGCTCTGTCTTCTCGACCTATTGCTTTGAGTGTATCGGCCGCTACATTTGGCCAAACTTGCGCAGCTGTCGCGCGCAGTTGCGGGTGCTGCCTTTGAGCTAGAGGCAGTATATTACGAACATTTGCGCGCAATTTATGTTCCATATAGCCCCCACGACAGGTAGACCCAATGGGCGGCTAAAAGGAAAAAAAGAAAAAAAAAAAGATGCCTTGCTTGCGATCAGTGAGCAAGGATAGCGTTTTCGTGTTTTTTTTATTTGAGTGCGAAAGATACGAAGTTTCATGCAAGAGTTGCAAAACAAAAAAAAATTCTGAAATATAGTTTCTAAGCCTGCCACACTCGACAAAAAAAGAAAGAAAAAAGTCACTGCTTATACAAAGAGAAAATGAGGATGAGTAGGAGCGATGTGTCCGTCCGTCCGTGAATCCGCCCGTGCGTCCGTGCATGCGTCGTCCATACGTTCTGTATGTCCATGCATCCTTCCGTGCGTTCGTCCGTCCGCTCATTCATCCGTCTATCCGTGCGGTTTGTCTGCCGTGCGTTCGTTCATGTGTCCGTCCTTCTATCCGTCCACTGTTTGTCTGTCTGTCTGTCTGTCTGTCTGTCTGTCTGTCTGTCTGTCTGTCTGTCTGTCTGTCGTCACATTTAAAACGATGCGAACGCCATCTAGTAAAAACTAGGCGTGTCTACTACAGACAAGCCTTTAAGGAGCTTCGTCGCTACCCCCCTTCCCCTTAAAGCTCTCTGCAGCTAACATGGTTGAACGCTGCCTCTAGAATTGGTGGTATTGCAACGTTTCTGCTCATAACATGGTTGGTCAAAACATACTACATCGTGAACAAGGCGGAATCCATTTCCCGCCTTCTTTGTGTGTGGCAAATCTCAGACTCGCAGTGCCAAACCTGTCAGTGCTCTCGGCAGCTACGTGACGTTCATAAAAATAACGCTGACAGAAGGAGTCTTCGGCCGCAAGCTTCCCACAGGTTTAGCCAATCGACGCCCACTAAAAGCGGCGCTCCGAAAATAATCGATAGCTGTACGAACACTTTGGTACTTGTGCGAGAAATTTGTGTAAGTGACGTTTCGTCACACTTTTTTTTTCTTTCTGAGCTTGTTTTCCTGCTTCGAGAGGGCGTATGAAGCCAACCGACTTGTATGAAAAAAAAAAAGTAATGTCACTGCCATCTATACGGACCTTCCGGTGAGCAGCACAGCGATTTGTTTCACTGAACACAGGAGAGTCCGCCACAGGACAGGACAAGAACTACAAGAGAGAAGGCAGGGAGGTTAACCAGGCACATGCCTGGTTTGCTACCCTACGCTGGGGGAATGGGAAGGGGAAGTACAAAGATGAGAGAAAGAGGAAAGAGAGAGAGAGAGAGAGAGGAAAGAGAAGAGAAAGAGAAAAAAATGATTGTCAGCCAATGAGTCGTCATGGTGGATCAGTGGCTAAGGTGCTCGGCTGCTCACTCGGAGGTCGCGGGTTCGATTCCGGCCGTGGCAGTCGCATTTTGATGGAGGCGAAATGCTAGAGGCTCGTGTAGTGTGCAATGTAAGCGCACGTTAAAGACCACCAAGTTGTCGAAATTTCCGGAGCTTCCCTCCATGGGGTCCTTCATAGTCATATGAAGGTTTTGGGACGTAAAACCACAGATACTGTTGCTGAACACAAGAGACGAGTTTTGTTTGTTTTTGTTGCGTGGGTGTTTCAATTTGCAAGATGTTTCAGCGCGCGAACAAAGGAAAAAGGACAGGGTAGACAGAAACAGCGCTCTTTCTGTCTACCCTGTCCTTTTTCCTTTGTTCGCGCGCTGAAACATCTTGCAAATATGACTACGCACCAACTAGCCCAAGTTTCCACTCTTGTGTGTTTCAATTGTCACGCTCTTGAGACAAGCGGTCACACACGAAAAAAAACTTCGATGATGGTCCTTCACTTTTGCTGGCTGATGTGGATAACGTAAATTAACTGTTTGCTTTCTTTGACAGTGAAGTACTCGGTGTGCTATTGAGACGTGCTGGTGAATGAGTGAAATGTCGTACAAAACGCAAACAGACAATTGGCCAGAAGGCGCCACGCATAATTTTTCACTTGGCTTTTCTTTTGATCACTTGAAATTAGTAAAAATTCAAATAAACGGTCAAGAAACCACCCCTTCCTCCTTTATAGAGATTAGAAGTTACGGGTGTCAAGACCGACCTGAACGAAGATGTTGTGTATGTGTCCATAGGCGTATAGAGGGGGGGGGGTAATGATTGCCCCCATGGTTACCTAATAGAAAGAGGAGTGCTAAACTCGACCCTATACTACGTTGACATAATATGGCGGGAGGCGGTGCGACTACGGTGGGGGGGGGGGCGAAGTCAGCGTCGTACATTGTTGACCTAATAGGAATTGGGGGACGCTGCGACAAGCAGGTGTCTTGAATGTACTAAGATCGAACCATGTGAATTTATCTTAGCGCTCATGGTTGCGTTTTCCGAGACGTTTTACCTGAGGAATATAGGTATGGCGCTAAATGAATGGGAATGAAGTGAAGACACGAACCGACAAACATGAGTGTCGGTGTCGGTTCGTGTCTTCAATTCGCCCCAGTCCTTGTGGTACCATGCATATATCCCTCAAGTAATGAACCAACTGGCTCAGCGACATGCCCTGTTAGATTAAATGGTATTGCGGCTGGATTGCGAAACAAACGTGTGGACCCGGAGGACGCAGATAATCACCCGCTCGTCGCGTCGCATGTTACAGAGAGCGGCGACAGCGGTGCGAGACTGCCACTCCGTTGGCGGGCCTTCTTTGTTCGAGCCGCGAGAGCCAGCAGCTGTTCTTGGCGCACCGGAGGATCGGTGTGGCGCTGTGGTCGCACAGGGCGCGCTGCCGGCGTGGCGCGTCGCTGCGCGGAGGAGGAAGGGGGAAAGAGAGCGCATGCGCCGGCCTCGTCGCGCAGCAGTCGCCAGTAGCGGCGGCAAGATGGAGGCCCGGTGCCCCTGCTGCAGCGGCAGCAGCGGAGGCGCATCGCTGCTGCGCTGAAGAGGCGCCGGCGGCGGCATGGCGTCGGTGGCGGCCTGGCTGCCGTTCGCCCGCGCGGCCGCCATCGGCTGGGTGCCCATCGCCAACAACCCGCTGCCGGCGCCGCCCGGTGACGCGCGAGCGGCGGCGGCGCGAGGACGAGAAGTTCACCATCAACGTGAGCGGGCGCCGATTCGAGACGTGGCGCAACACGGTGGAGAAGTTTCCCGACACGCTGCTCGGCTCCAACGAGCGCGAGTTCTTCTTCGACGAGGAGGCGCGCGAGTACTTCTTCGACCGGGACCCGGACATATTCCGGCACATACTCAACTACTACCGCACCGGGAAGCTGCACTACCCGAAGCACGAGTGCCTGATGGCCTACGACGAGGAGCTGGCCTTCTTCGGCATCGTGCCGGACGTGATCGGCGACTGCTGCTACGAGGACTACAGGGACAGAAAGCGAGAGAACGCGGAGCGGATGCTGGACGACAAGCTCTCCGAAGGGAACGAGAACGCGCAACTGGCGCACTCCACCATCAGGCAGCGCATGTGGCGTGCCTTCGAGAACCCGCACACGGGCACGGCGGCCCTGGTGTTCTACTACGTCACGGGCTTCTTTATCGCTGTCTCGGTAATGGCGAACGTTGTGGAGACCATTCCCTGCGTCCACGATTCTCGAGCCGGCGAGAGTCGCTCGTGCGGCGAGAGCTACAAGGTGGCCTTCTTCTGCCTGGACACGGCATGCGTGATGATCTTCACCGCCGAGTACCTGCTGCGGCTGTACGCAGCCCCGAACCGTTGCAAATTCATGCGCTCCGTTATGAGCATCATCGACGTGGTGGCTATCATGCCATACTACATCGGTCTCGGTATCAAGGACAACGACGACGTGTCCGGCGCGTTCGTCACCCTGCGGGTGTTCCGCGTGTTTCGCATCTTCAAGTTCTCGCGACACTCGCAGGGCCTGCGCATCTTGGGCTACACGCTCAAGAGCTGCGCCTCTGAGCTGGGCTTCCTCGTCTTCTCGCTCGCCATGGCCATCATCATCTTCGCGACGGTCATGTTCTACGCCGAGAAGAACGTCAAGAGTACCACCTTCACCAGTATACCGGCCGCCTTCTGGTACACCATCGTCACCATGACCACCCTAGGGTAAGCACTCCCTCCTTAAATCTAACCGTACGCCCCTCGTCGGAGACTGGTGATGCTTCTTTTTACGCAAGCGTGCTATGCGAGCGGCATACTCTGCAGGGGTGCACCCCCTGTCGGAAATTTGTGATGCTCCTTCTTACGCACTTGTGCTATGCGGGCGGCACGCTCTGCAGGAGCAATGTTCGATGACGCTTTGCAACTATAGCTAACACGTCGTATTCCTCCGCTCATTCGCACGACGCGCGTATCCCGCAGAGCTAACCGCTCGCAAAAGGTCTAGTTCTTGTCTAGCTCCGAGTTATCGTTCGCATAGACCATTTTTTTCCATAGTGCACGCAAATTGTTCCGTTCCAAGTATGAAGTCTGCTTCGTCTGACATTCGATGCATATACGTTTCAAGAATGAAAACAAAAAATATATATCCTGCTAGTCATATTGCCTAGTTGACTAATAAGAATAATTTTTTAACGGTACTCGCGTTATGACCGCTGAACTTGCTCCAACTCTGAAACATACCGGATTTAGCGTTACATTGTAAGAAAGCTCTTATTCGAGGAATGGCCATGTTGAGAAAGACACTCTTCTCAGTGAACGAGCTGCACGACGCCAACTCTTCAAGGTCAACTCATGCCGGCTGTTTCGCGAGAAAGCTCGTTAAGCCTTTCGTCGTTGGCATTCACGACGACCACCGGAGAAGCTCGCTCAGTGTTAATGAAGCTACCGAAACTGTAACGGCTGGTGTGCTGTGCAAAGTGTTATTTCACGATGCGAATTATGTAGGATCTAGCGGGGGCTACCTTGGCACTTCGTTTATAGATGCGTTATCTTATCTTACTACTAAAGTTTCTTACTCTACTTTTTGAAAGTGCTCTTTAGCTAGAGCTGTTGAAACGCTTTGCATTAGAGTGTTTTCAATTTACTTTATTTGCTCTTAAAAATTGTCTTTGGGCAAAGTGAATCTTTTTCTGAAAAACGCAATTGATGAAATGCGACTCACATAAAATGCAAACGTTCGGGGTAAAAAAAATAAAAGAAGCGTTGCTACTATCATTTCAATGTTTTAGTTGGCAGCATGCAGTAGCCTGGCAAATCACTTTACAGTTTGGATGCACCACGCACTGATCTATGTCTGATATTATGTGAGAATGTGGACAGATTACATGTACAGTGCTCTAACATAACTACAAAATTTGATAGAACGAAAGTGACTAGTTGCGGAACCTACTTACTATTTTTTATCGCTTGTTGTTTAGGAGATGTTAGCGCTTTTGAATAGCACCGGCTACCTCTTTTAAGATGACAGAAGGCAGAAGAAACATAACCAATAATATAAATTAAGCAAAAGAGAGCGTACGAAGAGTCGTGTCAGTCCATTATGCAGCTACGAGAAAAACAACACAAAATATAGCCCAGCCAAGTAACATTATAGTTCATAAATTTCATCATAATTGCACATAAAATTGCAGTCATAGAAAGGCCTTATATGCTGAAAATATTACTTAATATTTCTTGTTTCCTGATCTCATGCACTCTTTTTATTAGCACTTTATTTGTTCGTGCAGCTGATTATTTATTTTCACGTGCAAAGACAGGAAACAACAACAGTGTAGTCCTTGATGATTCCTATTTTCATCCAGTACTTTCAAACAACCTTTGTTCAAGTACTTGAAATATAAAGAATTTGCTTTTCATCATGTTTCTTTTTGTTCATCACAAATTTGCACAAAGTATGGACATATTTTCGTGCATCCTGACTGAAATGCAGTAAAATAAATAAATAAAGGAAGTATTAACGCCGTGTACTGCTTGCTACAGTGTTATCATTATAATAATTATGGTAGTACTTAGTGACTCCAATGCTGCTCCATTGGGTCGTCGAAATTTTGCGACCCCATTACACTCTGTTTACATTCCGCGGGCCTAATCTGATTTCTTTACAGAAAGCTCCGTCAACCTTTTTTTTTTGCGAATATGTGACAATTACGTGAGTTGCAGAAAAAAGTTTTGTTTTAGTAGGGCGTAAAACAGCCGGTACTGCCGAGTAGCATGCAGAACGTACTGTTGGGAAGGTTTTTTTTTTATGCTCACGTGGTACAACATGACAAATAATGTCAACCCGCTTGTGTGTAAACTTGCATAAAATCACATTGAAATCCATTTCGATAGCTTGCCAATGCGCGTGTTATTCAGGTATTTGGATGTTACACAAGTCCAGTCTAGTGGAGCCTCACTTGGGAAGTGAAGCACGCTGAAAGTCAAATGCAGTTTTTTCAGATGCAAAATTCAATAGCGGCATTGACAAAAGTTGTGAAACGACACATTTGTAGCATAGCGTTTGATCTGTTTTGCGTTTATTCTTTCGTGTTGTAATATTCTTAATTGTGCACAGTTCATCGGTTACTAGAACGCCCTCTAAATTTCCTAATTAAAATGTGATCCAATGATTGATTAATCTCTTACGCTCTCTACAGATTGTTCTGATTGATAAGCGTGAAGGGGTGTCGTAATTATTGTACGTCAATACCCGTGAAGTGCCAATAAAGAGAGGAAAGACACTAAGGCGAAGAAGTCAACTTTACGGCCTGCGTTAAGTCTGTTACCGTTTTCAGGGGAAATAAATGTAAAGCTTGAAGAGAAAAATGGAATTAGAGTTCAAAAGCTCCTGTGTTCTCAGGTATCGCCTTGACAAAGTGAATCATTTTGGTTCAGTGGCACAGTTGTTATTGTGCTCAGCTCTTGACCTGAAAGCCGTGGGTTTGAACCCGGTGGCAGCGGTCACATTACGATGCGGGCAAAACACTAGAGCCAGGTGCGCAGTGCCGTGTCAGAACTCCAGATGTTTTAAACTTCTGGTTCCCCCCTCCTTCGGTATGCCTCGTAATAATATGGTGATTCTGGCATGTCAAACTTCCGATATTAATTTAACCAACTGAATCAGGATGACGTCATTTCACGTTGTACGTAAGTCATGTGCGTTTTACGATTTGTAAAACATAAATTTGTACTAGTTTAATCGAATGCTTTGGAAGAAGTCATGGTGGGTAGAATTTTTTTTTGAGTGGTTTGAGAACAATAGCGCTGCCGAAACGTCCCACGCGTGGTACTGTTGTATTTAGCTTCGGTCAAATCTTACACTAACATCCTAGTCTGTGTGCTTGCCGTGTTTCTTTGTGCGTGTCCCGACGTTCTTTTTTCCCCTTCCCTCACGCGGGATGGTTGAACGAGCAAGCCCCAGATGAAAAGACTTTCGTTACAATGATTGCACCACAGATGCCTAAATTATTAACGCAATGCCGTTAAAGAGGCAGTGTAACAGAATGTGCGGTGGTGGCGTCATGCATGCGCGAGAAATCTAGATAAACGCTTAGAACAAAATCAGGGTTTGAGCCGGAATTGAACTCAGGCATTCTGCGTGGCAGTCGAGTATTCTGCCAGAGTGCTTGGAACCACGGAGTCTCCTACAATATTTATAAGACGGAAACTGCGGCACTGTGGTCATCCAACCACCATTAGAATGATGGGTAGTACATGGACTTGCTTAGTCTTCGTGCTTGCGGGCTTTGAACGCACTCGTGGCTTGTGGTTCATTGTTGTGTCCTGGTGTTGATTCGAATAAAAGAATGGACCATTGCGTACGTCGTGAGCCAATTTGAATAGGCGAGCCTAAAAAGGTAAAGTTGTGAAGTAAAACTGCTGAACTTCATCTTTCGACAAAGCGGAAGCAAGCCAACCGGAGCCAAGTGAAGCCGCTAGAACGAAGTTTAGCTAAATCCGTGTACCACCCATCATTTCCATGCTGACTTAAGAGCCGGGCGTGGCAGCTTCCATAAACACTAGTGCCAGAGTTTATTGATTGATTTGATGGGTTTGACGTCCCAAAATCACCAGATAATTATGAAGGACGCTGTAGTGGAGGGCTCCAGAAATTTAGTCTACTTAGGGTTCTTTAACGTGCACCCAAATCTGAGCATACGGACCTACAGCATTTTCGCCTCCATCGGAAATGTAGCCGCCGCAGCTGGGATTTAATCCCGCTACCTGTGGGTCAGCACACGAGTACCATAGCCACTTGACCTCCACGACGGGGCACTAGCACCAGAGTTCCTTCCAGTTTTATTCATAGGAAATTCGATGCTTGAAAGTATTTCGAAAAAGGGCCATTTACAATCGTCACGTCTGGCTGGCACTCGATGTTTATACTGTGCGGCAGAAGTGTAGAATTGTATCGGGGCGTCATAGCACGCTGACGCGAACTGCGTGATAAGTGACAAATTGAAAGCTGCCAACTCATTAGAAAGGGCATAGCTACAAATAATCATAATCTTCATTATCATCACACCGTCTACAAAGTGTGCAGATATTTCATCATCATCATCAGCCTGACTACGTCCACTGCAGGACAAAGGCCTCTCCCATGTTCCGCCAGTTAACCCGGTCCTGTACTTGCTGCTGCCAATTTATACCCGCAAACTTCTTAATCTCGTCTTCCCACCTAACCTTCTGTCTCCCCTTACCCGCTTGCCTTCTCTTGGAATCCAGTTAGTTACCCTTAACGACCAGCGGTTATCCTGCCTACGCGCTACATGCCCGGCCCATGTTCATTTCTTCTTCTTGATTTCAGCTATGATATCCTTAACCCCCGTTTGATCCCTGATCCACTCTGCTCTCTTCTTGTCTCTTAAGGTTACATCTACCATTTTTCTTTCCATTGCTCGCTGCAGATATTTATGTACGTGTAATTCCCAAGAGGGGCGTACTGGGTACTTTGCAGCTGTAATTGCCTTAGGCGCCCTAATAAAGTCTACAGTGGTCACGTGAATGTCACGCGCACAGACGTTCTGTATTTCATGGTACAACTGAGAGGTCCATCAATAAGCGAAACATGAAAACTGATATGAAGGCGACGCATAGGACCTAATAATCGTGTTGCACCGTTGTATTCGAAGCTTAATCATACTGCAAGTGTTTACGAAACGTTCGTACGCTACCCGAAGCTGTTAAGTG